CTTTGGTTATCCGGCACTCAGGACGATCCGCTGCAATGGAATTAAGCGAAGTTTATTCACTACAGCTACAAGTTAGAATTAAAAATCGTGGTTTCTTTTGCGATAATTCGTAAATGTTTTGCTTGATATCTGACCATTCGCTGAAGATTCACCTAATATCTCTTAAAATATTCTTACGGCCACAAAAAGCGAAAAACGACAACAGCATAGTGAATATAATAAGTGACAAAAGGCAGTATTCATAAATAAGTCATTATTAAACAAAGAAATATTTCATTCAGTTGGTGGAATCAAAAAACAGTCCAAGATATTTGCCCAAGTCAAAAAACACCTTTAAGGCCCAAAAATGCAAAAACGTTGATTGGTTTCTGAAAAATATTTTATAAAAAACTTCGCTTTGACTTAATAAATGTCCATCCTTGAAAAAATGAAACCTTGAAAAAATTTAATTGTCTTACCTATCAACAAAATCTTCTGACTTCACCGTTTTTATGCTCTTTCGCATCGGCCAAAGGATTTCATTAGATTATGTTAACTGATCCAAATTCATTTGCGAATTAAGTTGGCACATCTTGAATCTCATTAGAATGTCAGAATTTGCAAAAAATAAAAAGTAGAATTTTGTTTGTAGAATTTTTTTACTTATACGTATGCACCTTCACGAAAATTTGGCATTCACTAGGAAAAATTTTGTCCACAATCGCATTGAATAATAAATAAATTTATAGATTTGCGCTAATAGCAAACTAATAGCAAACCAAATTATCGAAGGAGAACATTGTTTGTGTAAAGAATAAAATTAATGAGTAATAAGAAAATAAATAATTTTAAAAAGAATTGATGATGAAAGAAATGAAAAATTTAATAAAAATTTATTCAGTTTAAATGAGATTTTTAACCCAATAAATTTAATCAAACACAAATATAATAAAATCGTTAATTTTTATAAATTTCTTAAAAATTTTTATTTGAAATCTCTTTTTTTTCATATCATTTAACCTTAAAATTGCACATTAATAAAAATGTGTAAATTTCTGAAAAATTAAGCATTCAGCATTCAATTATGGCACAATAAATTAATTAAAAGTAATGCTTCTAAAGCGGTTGATGCTGAATTGCATATTGCAAGTAAATAAGTAAATGGGGGAAGGCTGTGGTGATAAGAGGTTCGATTTCCGGACTGCCATAAGAGAAAACCTATCATTAAAAAAAAAATTAGGATGGTTCTGGTGACTCCCTGGCAGAAATTTCTAAAATTTCGAATTAACAACGGATCGAGCATGACCAGAAATGCTGAACGATAATCACCTTTTTTACTAAGTAAGCATGCAAGTACCAAAATGCTTATTCGAGAAGAATACAAGAACAGTGTAATTCGAAAATGCATTTCCAATTTTAAATATAAATATATCGTTTCTGTTTTTCTGGTTTTTAAGGAAACAAATCAAGATTTATATATTATTGCTGGCACAGACCTTGGCTTACAAATAAAAGTTCGCCTCAGAATTTATAAATTTTAAATTTTACAAATTTCATTGTAATATATTGTTAAAATATATTGTTTGGTCCAGAAAAATACATTTCATTACATTCATTATCAGCTTTATTCGTAGTAAATTTTGTGAATTTTCTACAAAAGAGTATCGTATTCTTCTATTGTCTCTTTTACTTATCTTTATTAATGATCATTATTAAAGGAATATAACTCTCAAAGCATAAGAGTGGCCTATACCAAAATGGCCTATGAAAATAGTGTAAATGTTTAAAAGTAGAGAATAGAATTGCGAAAACCTAGAAAAGTGCAATATTGTTGACAATTGCCAAATCATTCAAATCATAACAAAATATGATAACACATATCGAGATCATAATATGACACACTAGTATAAGATATAATCATAATATAGTTGCACAGGAGCTCTGACTTAGGAGTTCAAAAGAAAAATGTCGATCTGTCACCATGTTCTCCACGTTCTTCGCGAACTCTTTTAACAGCAATGATAAGGAAATAAGAATTGCATGACAAATTGTAAGAATGATAATACAAGGTAAAAAACTTTGATTTTGACCATGAAATAATTAAAAGGCACTTATTAAGATAATTTATCGAGGTAGTACCTCAAATAAAAAAAGCACCAAATGCAGAAGTACCATTAAACCTGTGCTTCACGCCTTTTAGCTATCACTGCACCATTACTTCGGCCATAATTTTCCTGAAAATTTCTCATTTTATATTTAATTTGAAGGAAAAAAGAACAGATTATAAAACACAGCCGGTTCATTTAAGCAGCATCTATTGCATGCGGCAGCGTTATGGTTGAAGCAATGGTGCAATGGTGTAATACGTTATTTTTGTTGAGATATTTAGAGTCGTATGTACGAGTTATTTGAACGGAAGTGAATCAGTCATTGGAAGTAGGGGTCGTACTGGTCACCCATCTGTACTTCTATCTGTACTCCATCCAGTGATTTATTGCTAAAAATTTCTCGTCTCATCCCAGTAGAACGAGCCTAACCAGAATGATTTCTAACCAGCCCTTTCTCCTCTTTTTTCTATATTTATATACTTCGGAGGCTCAGAATACCATAAATAATAAAATTTGTAAATTATCATTGAAATTCAGTAGTAAAAGGCGTTAAATTTTTGATTAAATTTAAAGTCTATAAAATAAACGAACATCATTCGTCCGACTAGTTTCGCGTTCAGTTGTTGCTAGCACCCTTCGATTTGGACTTATTATACTTGTAACTCGAGTTTCACTGCGATTCCATTCATCATCTTTTGATATTAAAGGTTGAATTGATCGTTTAATGTACGAATCTGCTCGATAGCGACGTGTATTAGAATTTTGGCGAAAATTTCCACCTTCTACCCTAAAAGTATTTAAGAGATTCAGATAATTTGCAATATATCGAAGAAGAAAAAATTAAATGGACCAAATATTCTAAAAAATTCACGAATTTCATTCGGTTTGCTCTATTCATTATAAGGACACGAATTCTTTAAAGAAAGTCGTTTAAAGGTTTATAGGTGCATAAGTTCCTAGCACCATTCATGCTTCATTAATAGTTATTCAACCTATAATACTTCACTTTTCCACCATAATCCCACTTAAAAGCAACAAGCCTCTTGTTTATGAGAAACCATACCGTACATACTTACATTATAAAGAACATAACAAGAATGATGATAAATAAGATGGAAATGCCCAAAAGGCAGCCTAAAACAATTGTCCAGATACGATAAGCCGATGAGACGCCCTGAAATTAGTCCAAGCATATAACTGGTCATGTTCGACATTACCATCTTGTTGTATCAAAAAATAATTATCGAAGTTTTATTCACTTTAAAGATATTAATTTCGAAAAATTAAGGCATTAAAAGATTTCAGTGGTTGAGGTAGTTGTGGAATATATTTACCATTAATTGAAGAATAATTCGATTATTTGCACCAGAAGTGAGGAAAAGTTCTTACCGTTGTTACTATTTTTGTTGGTACATAACATCCTGTTTTATTTTCATTGAGTCCATTTGGACATATTTCACAATTTCCTACCTGAATTTATCTATCAAAACTTCAATTGATCATATTTTATAATAAATTGAATCCAATAGACTAATTATGTTTTTTTCGTGTAAAATAATTTATTTGAACATTCAAATTCGAATTAAAAATCTTGACCAACAAACTCAAGTAAAAATTTACCTGCTTCCCGGCATAGTGACATGAACTCATAACACCACTAAGCACCGATTTACATGCTGCATAAAGTGGATCTACTCCAGAGGGGATACATAATAAATCACAATTCGGACCAACTTTATCACCAATACATTGCACACTGTAGGACAATTGAAGTCTAGAATCAAAGGGACATTTAAAATTACTTGCTCCACGAAGATTCAAAGATCAAAAGATCAAATCTTTTTGCTTTCTTACTATAAAGCATTGCTATTGAGGAATTGAGGAGTTTAACCTTGACATGATCTTGACCTGTTGTATGCTTTCGATTAATAATTCTTTCTTGAAAAACTTACGTAGTTCCTTGTAAAAGTCCTTGTTTTCTTCTTGTCACCATCACTGGGGTAGAACCTTCAGTTGTAGTAGAATAATCAGCCAAAGATTCAACGAATGTATCGACATGCACAAGAGAATTATAGAATTCGAGTTGTGCTGTCAATTGGTCAATAACAACACCAAGATGGTGGACAAGTACATCGACAGCCATCTGAATTGAAAATTTCATTTCGATTTCATAATGCAATTTCTGTTTTTTGTAGATATATATTCATTTAGATATTAGGGAATAATTGTGAGATAAATCAAATGATATAATATAGTTAATTAATCTGCTAATAATACAAAATGATTTAAATTGGCAATTTGGAATAAAGAAGTTTACACAAAATAATTCTATTTAATAATTTACTTATAACTTTTTTGCCCATTAAAGCAGTTTTCTGAATTATCAGCAGCGAGAATTACCTATGACATAATTTAGCACAAACGTGCGTTCGATTGCACCACCTCTGGTTAGGCAACTGTTAGTATGTCAGAAATTTTTGTCAGACGATAGAAGAAAAGGTGGCACGCCAGCGCTACCGTGATTTTTTAATAATTCCTATCTGCAGCATGAGTTCTGCCTTCCAAAACAATAACCTAAGCCATTATCCACTCGGCTAATCTAATTCTTAGCAAACAGACCATATTGACAATTTTTTCTTCATATTTATACCGTATTCTGTTAAAATTTTATTGCTGCAATATTAACATAATTATTGCATTGCTTGATCCTCTTTTGAATAAATAATTAATAATTTAAATGCCAAAAAGCAAAAGTTTTTTCTTTCAGCGCAAGATGCATTAAAATTGGTTAATTTGCATCTTTTCTAAAATTTTATTATCGAATTATTTCAAATATTTTCCTGCAGAATTTTTTATTTTCTTATGCAATCTTTTTTTTCTTATAAACCCTGGGAATTTTTCCCGAAAATTTTTTCCGTATGAACAATTAACAATTAATAATCTATAGGAATTGTAAAAATATGTATGTATACCGGTTTGCTGGTCATATTTAAAACATGAGGTTGAGTCCAATTTCCGCTATTAATTGATCCACTAGCCATCGGCACAAATTCACTTGCTATGTATTGCACTGACTGGCTGAAAAAGTGTAATGGTCCTCAAAGTGTCACCTCACCCACATGCATATTCTTGCTGAACAGTGGATCCACGCAATACTATTAATGCTATTACTATTAATGTTAATATTATTATTTTACCATTTTATGCTATCTTCAGTAACTATTTTCATAATAATGCTAATATTTATTATTAAATCAAATTGATCTGCAAACAATGGAATAAAAAAATGCCTTCTCACTGAATCTCTTTTGAAAAAATATTTTCTCCCGTCTTTCATAAAAAATTTATTATTAATTTATATTAATTTTATTAATAATATTATATTAATAAATTTATTATTATAAAAGCTTCTTATTTATTTTTTATACAGTAAATATCGATAAGCATAGCTCATAAATAAAAAAAAACTATTTGACGATTCTAAATAATTTTCAAATGTGCAAAGAATGGATCTTGAATGAAGAAAAAAGTTTGAACCGCCGCTGGTCCAACATAGCGTAAAATTGGTTTGAATTGAATTTAAGTTGTGGGTGCAGCAAGCTGATCCTTCAGATCACTTCTAATTCTTTTTTCTTAACTGAAATAGTGGTTGTTTTTAAGGTACATTCGTCATATGCTTGCGGTGCCCAAAATCACGTTGAAATCACCAGAGGAAATGTGCCGATCATCTGATTAATTTGTACCATTTGAAAGCAAATTATATTAAATGAAAAACTTCTCGAAAATTTAAAAATTCTTCAAAAGGCTCACTTAAAAAAATTATTTTCCAATTGCTTTTTTCCCCTGAAATTCTTCTCAACCGCACTAGCAATTTAATTTAGCCTATCGCCTCAATTTTTTCTATGCTTCAGCATTATTGGTTAGACTCGCTTCGTTAGCTTGTTGGAGTGACCACGCGACTTGATGATTTTGCCACTTGGTGATAGAAATATGAGTCGCCAGTATCTCCTAGAAGTTTGAAAAACAGATTGTTCCTTTCAATGTAGAACCGCAGCATTGGCGCTCCGAACTGAGCAACAACCCACTAAGCAACTCCCTTTTGCTTTCGTCCTTCGGTTGTGTAGTGCTTTTGTTGGATTCGAACTCTTACTATTCTCGCAATCATCTTACCACAGTAGTCCACCAAGATTTTTGGCTTACTTTTATTGTTTTATACCTTTTGGCCTTCTTAGTAGTACTTTAAATTTCATTGAAAATATAGAATTCATAGAAATTTAATCATCAAATAGTTTTAGAGAATTTTATGATTTTATTGGAATTTAACGAAACCAATCGAAAAGTTTCTGTAGAAATAACGGAAGCGATATAATGACATCGTTCTTTTTGTATTAATGTTTGAATCCTCTATCGATGCTGCCTTTTGCCAGGAAGATTTCATTTAATAAATATAGAATAGCAAAAAGCATCACCCGAATTTTTTTAATGACTTACTCCTGTCTGAGATCCAAATTCTTGCTTCTCAACACGATAAATGAGTGATTATTCATTGGACTGACCTTCCACGGATTCGAAAGAGATTTAGTGTACTAAGCCTGTTTAGTTGTTTGGAAACAAAAGAATTTGAAGATTAGGTAATTAGATGGAAATTTTCAGTGAATTTTTATTTTTACAAGTTGAAAATCTGGAAAATATTTGGTGTTGAAAATAATTACTAAATTATTTATAGTGCTCCGCAAAAATTTATCGTTTTTATTGAAAATTTATAATTTATCTATTATACTAGATTTTAAGGTATACAGCAACCTTTAGCTTTTCGTAATCTTCAAATGTTTTGCATAAATAAATGCTAAGAAACAAAAATTTTTAAAACCCAAATAGCGTGTTCTGTGGTAAGAAAAAAGTTTGGGAAATGCTGGATGCATCACTCAGTCGTGCTGCATCTCATCATTCCATTCCATCAGATTGCTTAAAAATAGGTATTTTAATAATCTTAGTGAAATTCACATTACTGAGTAGAAATATACATCTTAATAAGACGATTAATTTCTTATTACCTCATTTAATTCAGATTTATCATTAAACTCTTGCTAACTTTTTTGCATAAGGAAGAATAACTATTTTATAAGCTTATCATATATTATTATAAGCGTATGGAATATTGAAAAATAGGTGAAATAGACTTTTGGTAGATAAGGATTTGGAATAATTAAGAAAAAAATTTTAGAGCGTCAAAATTCTTCGTAAAGTGCACGTCGTGAAGAGTAAATGAGAGTAAAGAGTAAATAGGTTTAAAAAAACTGGTTTGCGCAATTATTAAAGACTTAACGATTTAATAATAAAAAGAAAGATTTAATAATGAAAAATAAAAAAATTATTTACTCAGGTGCAGACATGATGATTATGAATGAAAATAAACAGCTTGGAACACCAGGTTGCAAGAAAGGGCAACTTTTCCCTTGTGGACAAGCACAGGTCTTATCGTTAGGAAGACTCAACAACGGATTGCTGTATGCTTGCAATCGCACTTCAACTAACGCACCGTTTGATGAATTGTTAGACTGAAACCACTATGCATTCATAACGTATGAGCAGTAAAAATTACTATATTTCTAAATTTGTAAATTCTGAAAATCCTGACAAATAATTCATTTATAGTTTTTAGTTATTCTAATTTCTTTAATTCATTTTAGAACTTACAGTAACAATAGGTTTATTTATAAAGGCAGATTTTATTGGATTTTGAGCTTTTGCGTTTTGGTTCCCATAAATACCATTGCCATTGCCATGTAAATAACCATTGTTATTCTGTTGTTGACCATACAATTGATTTTGTCTATTGTAATCGTTACCGGCGAATACTGAATACTGTGGTGATGGATTAACTACATTTGCATATTGCATTCGTTGTTGTTGGATAAAATCACCATTGCCCATAAGCGACCCATACCTGGCATGAATTATTATTCATAAATCAACTATAATATTCTAAAAAAAGTTCCAATTGGACAAATAAAATAGGAAAATAAATTGGCTGAGTGGGTTATCTCATTTTGGATAGCAGATGCTGCTCCCTGTTACTCCCAGCAGGAATATACCTATCCTTCGAAAATCTGGATGCTACTGGTGACTCAGAGACAAAATTCATCTGATCCGACAAGCTGGCGAAGAAAGCAAGCCTAACCAGAAATATTTAATCTATTTTATTCCATTAATGTTCATTTTCCGGTCTGATAAAATTGGCCTGAATTTGTGGCAAGATAGTCGCTGCTCTCTGTTTATTTTGAATCTGTTGACCATAGTTGACCTTTCTCTCATCCTAGAAGTGTTTTGTTATAAAAAAAAAGCGAACCTTTGTCCTATGTATCGATTGCTATATTGTGAATTCGTCAGGTAAATAAAGGTGGCGAAAGGGAGAATAGCGTATGCTTGTCTAAACATCACTAAAATACTATACGAAATGTGCTATCGGAGCTGACAGGAGGGGAGCGGCGTTGTGCAAATATATCGGCCAGAAGGAATTCTTGTGTATCCAAGGAACAAGCACACACACCATCGCACATACAACAATGTGCACACAAACACTAATTTGCACTGGGCATACAAATATCTCTTGAACGTACCTTAAAAATTTCCACCGATCGTAACGCTCGATTTCAAATGAAAAAGAAAGGGTTCAGGCGGTCGAATTATAGGCTGGATGGTGAATATAAATGGGCTTTGCGAATCACTCGGATTTCGATGGGTTTTCTCATAATAGAAGACAAATCTTAGATAAAGTCACTCGGCTGAAGTCCTTTGCCTGAAGGCTATTCTGCGAAAAAATTCCGTAGCCTGCTTAGAAGCAATTTAGATTAGTCAGAGTTATTCAATATTTTTTGTAAAACATTCGTGTGGAAGTTCAGTGATTTCAGTCGAGTTATCCAATTTTCAATCGTTTAATTCAAAAAGATATTTAAAAGGTTCCAACAAATCAGCAATTCTTTACTTTTTAACATCAATAGGAAATGTATTGGAAATTTTGGCAAACAACAACTGCAGACTTCTACATGATTACAGAAAATTTTTTATGGCCACAATTGAATTATCAACGCTTTCTTTAAAATTAATTTAATGGTGCAGCAAATCAATTTGTAATATTTGAATTGTTTAAAATATTATCTTCCTAGCAGTTCACTTTATCGATGAGACTGCTAGGAGGTCAAGTGAAAAGTTGCTTTGGCTGCGGAATAGAAGATCGGTTTTCGCCTCTTGGCAGAAATAAACTTGTCACATGGAGGGAAATTCGGGCACTACTGAAGATCCAATTTCGCCTCTACTCGCCTGCTACTCTGACGCGTCCAATTCTAATAGATTCAGCCAAACCTGAAACGTTGCTCTATGTCCGACTTGTCGCATCAAGTAGAAGACAGAAATATTACATATTCCAAATCCACTTCTAGCTTGCACCATGCTAACTGAAATGATTTATTTCTGTATGAAAATCATGCTGTAAAAAAACTTTATAATTTCTTTTTTTAATGTACTATAATGTTGATCAACCATATTTGTATAATTGTAGATCGAAAATTAGGTATTATAAACTAGTATATAATATAAAATATACATATGTTTGAGTATGTCCTCGAAAAGCTCAGCCAGAACATGGAACAGGAAAATCTTAGAAGTTATTTGATATACTTCAAAATTAATATCTTTCATTTCTCGATTCTCCTCGAATTTCGTTGAATTCAGTTGAACCGCCGGTCAACTAAGATCCTCCTATTTTCCATTCATGGCACCATTGCACCCACATTACACCAAATTCCACTATTTTGTACTCTTTTGTCCTGGTTCGTGCCTCCTTCAAATCAAATGTTGCCAGTGAGTTTGCATTCAAATTTATTTTTAATTTGCTTTGTCTTAACACGAATATTTGATTACGGTAATGCTATTTTTCATTAAAAATACTATTAAACTATTAATTTTTTGTTAAGTTCTTATGTTATTTTTTAAATTTATCCGCTGAAGTGTTTTGGGTGAGCTTATTGAATTGCATGAAATTATTGTCAAGAATGATTTCTTCTAGCATCTCTCACCATTGCTGGTAAGGCTGGTTCCAACGCCTACAAGGCTAAAACGCTTCCAAGCGGAGGTCGACAGCCATTCCTTTTTCCATCGTCTAAGTCCATATATTGCTGGTCCGCCTATACGTTCAAAATCTTTTATCACCGTATCAGTCCAGGTCTTAATTGGCTCGCTTTTGACGCGAATCATCACACGGTTTAGCAAGTAACAAAATATGTGTCAACTCTTGTGGCGGGCGACGGAGAACGTGCTCTAAACAACGAAGGCTATGTCCTGTGGTGTTACTGCAAATGATATTTGAGGGAAAGTGCAATCATGTGTGTGCGATTTTATCTGCTCGGCGGACCTGCATGATGTATCTTGGATATGAGTGGCAGATAACTCCTTAATATTCCCATTCTCATTCCCATTCCTATCAGCCATATCTTGCAGCCAAATGGCAAGGTCGAATGAAGTAGTATAGATGTGGGTTTTCATTTTGATATTGATTTCGCGACGAGTCCGTAAAGGTTTCATCAGCCGGAAGAAAGCATTTCTAGCTGCCACCATCCGGGTTCGTTTCTGGCTTGATCATTTGGGATTATAGTGGATTCAAGATATTTGAATCCACTATATGTAAAATATGAGATGAAAATATTTTATCAGTTTTTGATATATAAGACGAAAAATTTTTTATTTTATTTGCATTGATCATGAGTTCCCACTTTTGCTGGATTTGCTGTCGTCATACGGTTTAGCATTATTTGCATTTACCATAACTTTCAATAAAAAAGACAACATCATATTCTAAATCTGTTATTTAGTGTTATTTAGTACATATCGTGTGGACTGATTTGTACACTTCTTGAATGTCGTTAAGCAATATGCATTCTTCAGTTTATCGCATAGTTGAATATTGTAGGAGAAAAAGCCAGTCTTTATGTACACCAGTTCTTATTTCGAATGAATCTATCCCCCTGTACATAGATCTGTGCCGATGTACGCCGATAAAATGCCTTTAGGAATCGGACGATCTTCTCTGGAACACTTTCATGCATCACCCTCGGTTCTATCAATTGAATCGAAGGTAGCTGTAAATTCGATGAAACGAATAACTGTGAGTAACCGATAAGAAACATGTTTCAATACCCTTCTTAACGTAAATATCCTGTTAGCACATCCTGGTTTAAATCAGCTGATTAGGTCACATCACCTATCCCTGTCTTGTATTGCCATATATTCAATAGAAGAGAAAGAGAAATATTTTTGGAGATGTGTAGTAAGCTTTAGTAAGCTTCCTCTATTATTATCACATGTCCTGTCCTGTCATCTTTTTTGGAAATTGTAAACTTTGCTGTAATCATCTGGTATTATTTCTTTTTTTTTACATCAGAAAGTATATTTGTTGAAGATATTTGTTGAAGAGCGATCGGCAACATTTAAAGATTTCAACTGAAGATCATTTTCTTCGAGAATTTTAGTGACCTTAAGCTTCTGGTTGATAGAGATCATTTTCTGTTGGCGAATCGCAATTGCAACATATAGCTGGACGAATTTGCGTCAAGTTAAGTTTGTCCCAAAAAAAATTCCTTTAACCTTGAAATTTTTTCACAATTCTCTTATTTTTCTATTTCTCTTATTATTTTACTTTCACTTCTCATTTTGCTTTTGCTTTTATTAATTTAATTTAATTTGTTAATTTATTGATAACCAGCCAAGCAGGGCGACAACGCCATGTGCTTGTATTAATAATAACAATTAAGATAAGAGAAAAAGAAAATACAAAAAAAAAATATAAACAAAATTAATTATAAAACAATATGATTAATATTAACAATTAACAAATAAAAATTAACAATTTAAAGAGGAAATTACAGATCAATATAATATAGCACAATTCGAAGTAACATATATAACCTGAAGATGAAATCGAGATTTCTCACTTCTTGCAGTTCTTGCCTGTTGTAAACTCTTCTCTTCTCTTTTTTTTTGTTTTTAAATAATATCGTAAATGATATTATCTTTTTTTAAAGACAGCCAAGGATAACGCACAAGCTACATCGTTCGGTAATTTGTTCCAGTAGTTAATAGTACGAATAAAGAAGTCATGACTCCTTGGTTTAGTTTTGCATATAGGTTTTAGTAATTTTAAGCCATCAGTTCTTGTTGGATTCAAATTTAGTCTAAAGTTGTAATATTTCGAGCAATCTAGTTTAACATAACCATACAGAATCTTATATGTGGAAATTAAATCTTGTTTAATTCTACGAACTGAGAGAGAATCCATGTTATATTGTAGAAGTATTCTTTTATAATTAAAATTATAATTTTTATTAGGAGAGAGGTGTCTTAGAAAATATTTTTGGAGTTCTTCAATTATTTTACCTGTTTTGCGATGTCTAGGGGAGTAACATATAGTATTGTAGTCAAGAAGAGGCCGAACGAATGCTTTGTATAATTTGATAAGAAAACTTTCAGTTTTGTTCTTAAACGAACGAAAAATAAAATTTAGTATCCTTGAGGATTTCTTTATATGGTTCTGCATTGAAGATCGAAATCGAGATTTTCATCCATGATTATTCCAGATCGGAGATATGTGAGACTCTATTGATTAAATTACCATTTATAAAAAGCTTAGGAAGATCGAATCTTTTAGAGCTGATGTGAAGAACGTTACATTTTTGAAAGAAAAAGGTAATTTGCCTGTCGTATAGCCAGTCAGCTATTCTGTTGAGGTCTTGGTTGTTGCTCAACTGGTAAGCGCTGATGCTGAGGTTCGATTCCTTGCAGGAGTAAACCTGTACAAAAGTCCGAGTGATGTTGGCGACTCACCCGTACATCGGTAGAGGGAGTTAAACAGAATAAGAAATCCCAGTTTATTTCTGCGAGGATAGAGTTAAAGATTTCATAATTACAGTGACGGTAACTTCTAGAAAATCTCGAGGGAGGTGAATAACGGTCTAATTTTAATGAAGCATGAATGATATTGTGATAACTATTATAAAAAGGTTCCAAGACTCTAATACTATCAACAAGGGAGGTAGAGGTAGCTAACACAATATCTAATATAGTGTTGTACCTAATGGCGACCTTAACATGTTGCTCTAGACCAACATAGGTACCAAAGTTTAGAAAGTCCTCTTCAAATTTATTGCTACTTTTTAAACAACTATTTTCCCAATCTATGTTTGGCATATTAAGATCACCAACAATTACATAATCGGTACCAATTAATTTTAATTTGAGTAACAAGTTGTAAAGGTCCCTAGTGAATTTGCTTCCATAGCCCGATGGGCGATATAGATTTAAAAGGGAAATATTTCTGTTATAAAGATTAATTTTAATTACCAAAGATTCAAAAGAGGAGCAAACATAATCATCGAAGGTTATAAATTTATAATAATCAGGAATAAGCATGATAAGCCCACGAATATTTGAACTATTTATTGCTCTATCCTTGCGTGATACTATAAAGCCGTCAAAATTAGTTCGCGATTATCAATAGAGTCATCCAACCACGTTTCATTGATACAGAAAATACTGTTTGGGTTATCAATCCAAGAGTCTTAAGTCACAAAGTTTATATTTTAAACTTCTTGCGTTAAAAATATATAAAGATAAATTACCTCCTATTTTATCAACCTTACTTGATAACTTGTCCTAGGCTGCTGCACACTGATGAGAATATGGAATCAAAAAATTGCTCTTCGGTGCAATCCATTGGAGAGGCTGCCTGAGTTCCACTATTTGAAGATTTCTGATGATATACTTTTTCAGATTGAGACTTTGATTTCGTGTATAACGTTCTTTTCGCAGCTATTTATCTAGCAATAATTCTCTTTTCGTCAGATCTTTTCGCAAAAAATTTCCCAGAGGGAATTCCAGAGGGAAAACTTCCAGAGGAACTTCCAGAGGGAAGAGCACGATCGAGCGCACATCTTTGTTACGCAAAACAGAAATGGCCATTTGTTTATCTTCGAGACGAATTTTAAGTACTCGTGGCCTCCCTGTCCCCTTTCTTCCATGACGACGAACCTCCTTAATAAATTCAGTCTTGAAGCCAGCGACAACTACAATGTTTTCTGCTAAAAGCATATCGGCAGTAGCAGATTCATCATCCGTAGATTTCTCTGGAATGTTTATGCCAACTAGACATGGTTCTTTTTCCTTCTTTTCAAAATATTCTTCAATGGTTTCCAATACTTGTTCAGTTTCAATTTTTGTTCAGCTCGAAGTTGCCCAAAGACGAAGCTTTCAAATTATTAATATCATTCTTAAGTTCTTCGTTGACCTTTGTAAGTATTTCAACAGATCTAGTTAAATGCATAATTAGATCTTGTTGTTTTTCATATTTCTCAATAATGAAAACTGACCTCAGATCCTCGATAGTTTTATTTGAATAGCTAACATCATTATTGGAAACGGCCCCATAAGCTACCTTTTTCAGTGCCATTTGGAATTTCCTCTTATCTTACAAGTGAACGGTATAAAACAATGAGATCAATATACTTTGAAAAGAATGTCTTTCAGACGAATGTAATAAGATTAATATATTCCTTCTATAGTTTAGCGAAGCACATTACAATAAAATTATTGCTTGTTTATTTTTCTTAGATCGGACAAATTCGATAATTATTATTTTTTTTGTTGATTTTCGTTAATTTTATTAATCAGCCAAAAACCTTTTCAAGGTAAAATTCCATTATGTATTTTCGTTATCTTTATGATTTTTTCTTTTATTTCTTAGATTAGTGAAAATTTTTTTATGCTTTTGGTTTTTTAAATGAGCAAGAATTATTTTTTTTAGAGATGATTTGTTACCTTTCAAATAAAAAAGTGTTATTTATTTCAAATTAGGCTCCCATGAACCCTGTGAGAATCGCCATGAACCACAAGAGATCCATATATATATATATATTTATCCACAGATAGCGGACAGTAAGAGGAATCGATTTTCTAAATAGAGTATTTTTATTCATTTTTACTGAATTATTTATTTTTGGATTTTTTTATAGAGCATTATTGGATAGAAAAATTTTTTATTGTTTTCTTTTCTTAATTTTTTAAAATTTTGGGAATTTATGATTTTCATGTTATTCTCATATCGTTTTATTTCATTTCATTTAATTAATCTATTTTAATTATTTTTCATTATTTTTTTCATTATAAAGACTAAATTTCCATAAAAACAATTTTGTTACTCAGAAATTTTGAATGCGCTGATAACTTTTCGGCTTATAGTTTGCAAATAATAATACATAAAGAAGTGAAAAGATGGCTGAGACTAGAAGCAAGAGTGTTTTCAAGCTTTCTTTAATTTTCTACTTTTAAATTACAAATTTTTTTATTTGCAAGCTAGAGTGAGTTTTTTGTTTATGCAACAAAATTAGTAAATTTTTTCACAAATCTCTTATTTTTCTAATTTATTATTTTCAGTTCTTATTTTTTATTTTTTATTAATTGTTTAACTTGCTTATTTATTATATATTGCTTATCTTCTTAATTCGAATTAAAATTCGGAAATCATCTTCGCATTTTCCTTGATTTTCGCTCATTTATTAGCTAAAAAAACAAATCTTTTCAAGGTAAGACTACATTGTCTTTTTTTAAAGTTCTTTTCGGTATTCTTACTCTTTTCGTTTTCTTCATTTATTTCTTCACTTTATGAAAATTTTTTTCCAGATTTTTGGTTTGATAAGTCGGCAAGAATTATTTTATATTTCGAAGCAATTATTGAAATTACTGCATCAGAAATTATGTAAATTTAAATTTTTTTTCATTAGCAAATGTTAAGTATTTTCTCTTTTTTTTGATTTAAAATTTTTTTATACTCAGCTTTACAATTTTATCATTTATAACTATCAGTGTTCAAAAAATTACATTTATTTAGCCGAGATCTTTCAATCTTTCAATATTAATTAGTTAATAATATTTATTAGTTAGTAGTCAAGATTAATCTTTCAGTATTCAAAGCTTCCTTTTTTTGCATAGGGAAAAGAAATGTGGATAAATTTTAAATTCTGCTGCGTAAACAAAAATATAGTCCTCCCAATATCTTCTTAAAAATTAATTTATGTTTGTATTCTTAAATTTATTGTTTCAGACATATAACGTTAATTATTCATCCGGTCCATGTCGCTGGAATCTTTGCTAGAACGATTTTATAATATGTCATGGCCTAATTGGATTCAGCCTTATGTTGAGGTATTACTTTTATGGATTTCATGGGCTATTGATTATATTGACTGGGATTACCTCGAGGTTTGCTTTTATTTTTTGATATTCTTTATTATTTTGCTTTAAATATTTTTAGATATTTCTTCGTTCACATAAAAATTTTCTTTTTATTGCGAGTTTAATGGTGAGGACTCTGTTAATTTTTTTTACTCATGATTTTTTAAGTTTTTGTTTATTAGGTTATTTATTTATTTATTAACTTTTAAAAAACTTGCTTCCACTTATTTATATTTATGTGTAGTGTCATTTATGTATAGTAAAATATTCTCTTTTTCTGTCTTTTCTCTTTTTCTCAAAAATTTTATATTGAAATATCTGTGGAATAATTAATGTGTGGAATATGGAAATATATTAAATGGAAATATATGAAAGAAATAAGGCAAACTGCAGAATTTTGCCTTTAATAGTGGCTTAAAACTATTTGTTATTCCTCAAAAGATAATTTCTTTATTTTATTTCTTTATATATATATATTTCTTTATTTTTTTGAATTTTTTTTTGATACAGTTGTGTATTGTATTTAAATATCTCCATTATCTCATATTGAATTCTCCCCAAAATGTGAAACTCTGTTATTTTCTTCCAACACTCCACCATACTCATTGGTAACTTCTTAAACGCCACTTGTCCTATTCATATCAAGTATCATTTTATTATTAAATCATTTTACGCCACAATAGATCTCTCTTTAGATCCAGCTGTAACTCATTACTCTCTAGCCCCATCATATTTTCTTTTCCACTTGCTGTTGCCACATATTTTTTAAATCGTAAAGCATGGAAATTCAGAAGATGTTAATCAAAATGAGGTTCGAAAATGTTTTAGCCAAGTTCTGAGGTCCAAGAATATAATCAAGCGTCTATTCACAGAGTGGATCTTTTTGAAATTCAAATGACCCTTCTAATTATAGACTTATTAGCTTAACATGCGTTGATAATAAAGTACTCGAAAGGTTGTTTTGCAACAAATTGCATACTTATCTTGATGCCAATAATTGCGCTTGATTTCTATCATATCCTCCTATATCTTCCTATCAGCATGGCTTTTATACAAAAATTCTTCGCAAATATTGACAATGGAAAAACAATATCAGTTATGTATCTGGATTTGGTTAAAGTTTTTGATATTGTTTCCCATAGCAAATTATTGATCACTCTTAATAGTTATGGCATTACAGGGGATCTGTATAACTAAGTGTCAGATTACAGATTACATAAAAGATCGTCACCAAGCTATATGTGCATTTTTTTCTTGATATGACACCTGTTAAATCAGGCGTTCCTTAAGGTAATTATATTGCGCCATTGCTTTTTTTTATTATTTATTATATATAAATGGTAAATATCACCAAAGTGGAACTAAATTCTACCATTTATCTTTATGCTGATGATTGTAAAATTCATTATTCTCATAGTAGAGCAGATAGCCTATAGCCTATCTCCACTGCAGGAGGACTTCAAAAGAATAGCCAACTGGCTATATGACAAGCAAATTACCCTTTCTTTCCAAAAGTGTAGCGTTCTTCATATTAATTCTAAAGGTTTCGATTTTCCTAATCTTTTTATTAATGGTAATATAATCAGAAAAGTCTCAAGTCTCATTTCCGATTTTGGAATAATCATGGATGAAAATCTCGATTTGGACCTTCATTGCAGAACCATAGTAAAGAAATCCTCAAAGATACCAAATTTTATCTTTGGTTCATTTAAGAACAAAACGACTAAAGGTTTTCTTATCAAAATGTGGAAAGCGTTCATTCGGCCTCTTCTTGACTACAATACTACATGTTACTCCCCTAGACATCGCAAAACAGGTAAAATAATTGAAGGACTCCAAAAATATTTTCTACGACGCCTCTCTCCTAATAAAAATTATAATTTTAATTATAAAAGAATACTTCTACAATATAACATGGATTCTCTCTCACTTCGTCGAACTAAACAAGATTTAACTTATAAGATAAGTATGGTTATATTAAACTAGATTGTTCAAAATATAATTTTAGGCTAAATTTGAATACAGCAAGAACCAATGGGCTAAAATTACCAAATTACGCTAAAATTACTAAAACCTATGTGTAAAATTAAACTATAGACTTATGATTTCTTTATTCGTATTATTAATTACTAGAATAAATTACCGAACGATATAGCTTGTGCGTCATCTTTAGCAATCTTTAAAAAAAAGATTAGATGTCATTTAAGATATTATTTAAAAAGTTCACATCAAGCAGAAGGTCAAGCAGGAAGTATGAAATCTCGATTTTTACCATATGATTATATATAATACAGTTACTCCGTACTATATTATACCAATTGTACTATATAATATTATTCTGTAATTTCCTCTTTTAATTGTTAATTTTTTGTCATATTTTCTTTTTTTTCTTATCAATTTTTATTATTTATTTTTTTAACTGTCGTTATCAATACAAGCGTGGCATTATCGCCGTGCTTGACTAGTTTTCAGTAAATACATGAATTTATAAATAGATCGAATCGAAATACACAAGAATATATTTTTTCAGTACCTTGCCTGGCTTTTCCTTCCTATTTTCATAATTTTTATTATACCCATATTGGTACTTTTTTTTATCTATGGATGTATTATTTTTTTACACATATATCGCTTACGACATCGTATACGTGAGGCTTATGCAAGTAGTTACTGGGATGGTGCACGCATAAGTATAACTTCATTTTGGGATGCTGTTGGATATGTTTGGCATGGTATGTATTTATGCTAAAAATTTATGCTTCACTGCTTTAACGTAAAAATATTCCCAGCAATGCTTCATTTTAACCAGTTAATCCATAATTTTTGCTTTTGTTCATAAATTGGCCGATTCAAAATTTTTTTTAAACCAGGTAAACTTCTAATTGCTCTATCTAAAAAAAATTTTAATTGTTTAATTTAGGCTATGAAATCCACGGTTTAGAAAATGTGCCAGATAGTGGACCAGCTTTATTTGTTTATTATCATGGCACATTACCGATTGATGTTTATTACGTTATTTCCAAGTGTTTATTGTATAAAAAGCGTACTCTTCATTGTGTTGGAGATAAATTTATTTTCAAAATACCTGGTTAATTTTAATTTCGAATGTATGTAGTAATAAGGCCACAATTTTACTTTTATTTTTGCCAATGAAATTTTAATCCTTTAGCATGATTATAAACAATTTATATTTAACTGAGAAAATTGATTCAATAGAATTTTTTTAACATTTTTTCAGGCTGGGGAATGCTGTGTAAAGTATTTTTTATAACACCTGGCACTGTTGAAGATTGCATCAAAAGGTTGAAAGACGGTCATTTACTTTGTATTGCACCTGGTGGTGTTCGTGAAGCGCTCTTTTCTGATTCATCAAGATATAATCTAATTTGGGCTCAACGTTTGGGGTTTGCAAAAGTAATTATCGGTTCATCAACGGTATTTTTCTTTTTAAGTTGATCTTGAATTAATCATTATTCTTCATCAATATTTTTTAGCATTTTTTACCATATCACTGTTTGCCATTTATTTTAACTTTTTTGCACTTCACTCGGTTTTACTACAATTTAATTTGTTCCTGTGGAGTCCAATCAGTAGCAATGAGATAGCACTAATGTTTTAAGAAATAAATAGAATTGTTGAAAATAGATTGAATAGATTTGGAAAAAGATTGATATTTTTTATTCAAAAAACTTTTGTTACTTGTACTTTTTATAGCCAGTTATCCCCATGTTCACTGAAAATTGCCGAGATGCCTTTCGAACTCCGCGCTGGGGAAGAAGTTGGTTCTTAAATATATATTATATATATATAATAATATATATAATATATATATATATATATATAATATTATTTTTTTATACATTATCATTTAATATTAAATATTTAAATATACTTTTAAATATTTAATATATATAAGTATATATTTATTTAAATATTTATACTTTTTAACATTATTATATATTATTATTTAAAGTTAAAGAGATCAATTTCTTTTTTTTTATAAATAACAGAAATTTTCAAAAACGTTTTGTTTCTTTACTGTTAAAATTTTTTCACTTTCAGCTGAAAATTGCTAAAATTATTAGTTCCAGGAATGTTTCGATGGATCTATGAAAAAACAAAGTTGCCTTTGTGTCCAATTTATGGCGGATTTCCGGTAAAAATGATGTTAGTATCATTACATATCATTTGTTCACCACTTTATCTATATCGATTCGTTATTTCATTTCAACTTTTCTATTTTTTTTTAAAAAATTTTAGAACACATTTGGGGAAACCGATTGAATTTGCTTTCTCATCAACACCTGAGGAGGTCAAAAGTCGCATGTTAAGGGAAGTGCATGATTTAATACGAGCCCATCAAAGGCTTCCTGGTAGTATAATTCGAGGAATATTGCAGAGGTTATTTCAGTTTCATACAACAGCGGATGCTTCATCTAAAGCCAAGACAAATTTTAAAAGTCCATTAATTTTTTAATAAATACAAGAAAATTATATGGTTTATTTTTGTTCTATATTTTCAAATATTTAACATTTTACTTTTAAGGTTTCATAATAAACGAAAGTACAATCGAAAGTTACTCGTTGAGGAAAGAAGTGGAAGATTTTCATCAAATGGATTAATTCCCGAAGCTGCAAATCTTTTGCAAGGTGGTGAGTGTCACAGTTCAAATCAAAAAGCTTAACTCCTAACCGATTTTGTAATGTTTGATCTTTTTATTCATTTTATCTGCAATGACATGTCATTTCTTGGTCGTGATGGTTTATTTAATTCTGTTTATCACAATTTGCTATTATATTGCTTTTCCTAATAATTGTTAGCGGTTGATACTTGAGTTTTAGTGTGATTTAGAGAAAAATGAATTTTTCCATCATTATCACATAAATATATACAAATAATAATATCCCACTAAAATTGATGAAATGAATTGAATAACTTAACTTTTTACAGCATTTAGTTGATTTATCTTATTTAATTACTACTTATATATTTTGTGCTGTAGCATGAAATATTTAATGCAGACTAATGATATTGTTAGTCCAGTTTTTTTCGTGGTGAGTGCCAGAAGCAATATTTTGCTCATCGTACAATACAGCGGAGAATGGGATAATTCAGGCGTATTCTTTCTGTTATACAAGGATTTTTATCATTACTTATTTATTAATTTATTTATTTATTAGTATTGTGTTACACGTATATTTTATAAGAAATGCTGGTTTTATTTATTTAATTATTGGTACTTTCTTGGCAAAATTTTACTATTTTACTACATAGCATATTTTTTCAATCTACGATTTTTGATTTTTTTCTGTGGTTTATGAATTTTGTCGGCGAATTTTGTTGCTTTTTCAACAAAAACAAAAACAGATTGATCTTTATTTCTTTTCATTTAGTTTTTTACTGTTTTATAATCGACTGAATTCGAAAATTTATATTTTCATATTTCAATATGTTTCTTAACTTTTTGTAGCATTTAGTTGATCTAGCTTATTTTATTGCTACTTATATATTTTATGCTTTAGCATTTTGCCAATCTGTGATCGTGTGAATATGCCCACGTCTTGTTTGCGTGGCTTTTTTTCTACAATTTCTTAGAAATTATCGTTTTACTTTTGATAATTTATTTAATAACTTCCGCTTTTGTTTTGTATGAATTTATTTAAGTGCCTCTTTGTGAATTATAGCTTAGGGTGGTTTGTGGAAAAAAGCAAACAAATTATGCAATGGATTTTTTATTGTTGCAATCTGCAAATTTGCTTTATAAAAATTTGCTTTTGGCATCATCCAAAAGATTTGGCCGTTTTGCATGATTTATTTTGCAAAACCACAATTTTATTGAAAATCAATATTTTTGTTCAGAATGGGTACCGTTGCAGTGAAGAAATTTTGCCAGCTTGGTACGAGTCCATTTGCTTGAGGATAGACTCTCATCGTCTTTTGTCGCAATGTTCCAAAAGCCTCATACTTTGGAACATTGCGACAAAAGATATGGTATTTTGTTGGCAAAAGGACGAGCAATATAGTGGATGAAAGGGGAGCGATATTCAATACGACAATTTTTACAAGTGATTCTTTTTTCGTATGGTTTAGGGTCGCTTTGCAGAATTATAGGATCGTTTTTGGTGGTTAATGCTAATTATTGTTATTCCTGGTGTAATTTTCAATTCTTTATCGAATAACTACCATAATCACTCCACCAGTCCTTAAGTTATAGTGGATTAGAAGTTATAAATGCAGCAGACCACCAAACCGTCTTCGAATATCGGGCTTTGGTATAGGTTGAAGGGATTTATCTTGTACAGGTATCTCTCCAATCTTTTTCTGTTGCCGTACAGAATCCACCTTTCATCACAAGTAAAATTTCGTTCTAGAAAAAGGACTTTTTTGCGTCGTGCCAGTAACGAGCAACAGGCCTCGAAATATGTTGACCAGTCAATTCCTGGGATATATATTTGTCAAGTTTTTTCTTCTTTAATTCTACTCATTCCACACGGTACGAAGTGAAATTCCAATCTCTTGCGCAATTCCTTTTAGGATCAGCCTCGATCATCTCCTTCAGAGATTTGTCCATAGAATTTAAGGGGGTATCTTCGAAACCCATATTTCAAAGCTCGAATTTCATCAAAATCATTTTCTCATCGTTTTTTCTGTTAGAGCACTGCCATCAAAACTTGCTTGCATGTTATGAGCCACCTCCATCACTTGATTATCCAATTTAAATTCTTAAAGTGTCACAGCTTGAAAATCATTGCATATTAAATTTGATCACCCAAAAAGATTAAAATCACACCTTATTAGACTGCGAAGAAGAGAAATAAGATTCCATAACAAGTCTCGCTATATCATTTAGATTGACTATTTCGCCTCTGATTGGAAAATTGGAAAATCATATGGTTTATTATGCATTGAATTGAATTCGTATGTGAAATTGTTGTTGGTCAACTGTAGTTAATTGCTTGATCTTATCGGAGCACTGATGCTGAGGTTTTACTCCCTGCAGGAGTAATTCTGTTCAAAAATCAAGGTGGTGCTGGCGACTCACTTATCTTTTATCGCCAAAGGGCTCCCTGGTATATTTCTCCAGTGCGACAAGCCAGCAGGGCGAGTTTAACCAGTAATGGTGAGGACTATTTAAAAAAAAGACAAACGCTAATTATGTGCTTCCGTTCAATTTGAATTATTTCTTTCTGAAAAAGGTTCGACTCTCCACAATAATGATATTTCAACGGAAATGATAGTTTCTCATTTAAATCTGTGAGGTTTGACCTTCCCATTATTTATGTATATATTCATATATATTTAAAGACAAATGATTGCCTTAAAAAATGAAAAATTGCGAAATTTCAAAAATAGGCTTGGGCTTGAAGAATGAAAAATGATTTATTTTGACTTGTTCTGATTTCTTGGCTTGTGCGATTATTTCTTTGTATTTCTTTCTACGAAATTCTAGTATATGTTTTAAAGCCGATAGAATAGAAGAAAAGTACTCAAATCGTTTTTCCAAATTCGCTTTAATTTCATCAACAGCTAACAAGCCGAAATTCCCCTCATGTTAAATATTATGGAAAAAAAAGAACTTATACAAATGAATAAATAAATTACAATAAGGATTTTCGCCAACTATGATAATAAAAAATAAAACTAATAAAATCTATCTAGCTGATAAAATCCCTCTTTTTGTAAATTCATTGCCGGTTGAGGAACTACGTGATTTTAAATACCTTAGGTCCCTTCTAATGACAAATGGTCAGAAGACGATATTGCAATTGGGCAGCTAGAAATGCGTTCTACCGGTTGACGAAACCTTTACTGAGCCATCGTGAAATCACCATAAAAACAGAAGTCCGCATCTATATAGCCTTGATTACTGTCGGAAAAAGAATGTGCAAGTGCGACCGTGAATAAAAATATTTAATATTTAATATATTTAATATAAAATATTTATTAAAGTTACGATAATAAATGAAAATTGTTTAACAGATTTGAAGTAACAGCGAATGTAGTTAGGGAGAGTAGTTATGAAAAAAAAGGCATGAAACAAGACGATGGTTCGTCGATCCTCTAAAACGTAAAATCAAACACTATTTGTTCGGAATGCTCAATTGCCCATTTGAGTGGTTCTTATAAAAATTATTTGATAAAAATTTGTTTATTTTAATTCAAAAGAAAATATTTTCACAATTGTCACTTTGATATATTAATATGATGCTTTACAAATTAATTAACAGATGCGTGAATAAAGAAAAAGGAAAAAAAAAACAATTTTCTGATTTGCATATTGTTGTTGTAAAAGGTTTTGTTAAAAATTTATTGTTTTTCTCTTTCTGAATTTTAAAAAGGCTTTATGAATTCTTACCGTATTATTATTATTTTATTTCTTATTTTCGGTAATTTCAGACACTTTGAGACATGGCCATTGAGAGTGGAGGATATTAAGAATTTATGTGCCTTTGGTACATTTTACGGGCCATCGAGCGGATAAAATATCACATGGTCGCATCCACCTTCGTTCAATACCTCCTGCATTAATAATGTTATCACAGAGCATCGCCTTCGCTACATTAGGATACATTCTCCATCGTCCACCACAGGAATTGACGCATATTTTGTTACTTGCTAAACCGTATGATGGATGACGTCAAAAGCGAGGTGGGCCAGTCAAGTCATTCAGGAAAGATTCTGAACGTATAGGTGGACCAGCAATATATGGACTTAGACGATGGAAAAAGGAACGGTCTTCTATTACTGTCGACAATAGCATCAGACCGTCCAGCTTGGAAGCGTCTTCTCTTGTTGCCGTTGGAGCCAGCCTAAATAGTAATGCTAGGGACTGTTAGAAAAGAATAAAATCTTTCTGCATTTCTATCTCCAAGTGAATCTCTTGCGAAATAGTCTTATCCTACCAATCAGCACAGCGACCGAAACCAGAAATGATGAATGAATGCTGTCAGAAAAAAAGCAAAGTAAGGAAATTAAAGATCAACTATGAATAGGAAAAACTAGTTAAATAATCCATATAAATACAGTTAACTGTTAAATGTTAGGAATTTTTGATTAGGGGTCATTTAATGGCAGAGGCAGTTGAGTACCACTGAATTTTTTTTAGGTTTATTATTTGTTATTATTTGTGTCCGAGGCAGAAAACGCTTTTTTTACTTTCTTTTATGAACTTCAAATCTCAGAAAGTTAATTTATCTAATTATTAATTGACTAATTTCGTAAAATTAAAATTATTTTTAAAGTGATTTAATTTTTTAAATTGACTAAAGAACATTTCAATCTTTTTTTAAAAATCTTTTTTTTTTAATTTAATTTTTGATTAATAATAATTAATAATAAATTATTTTAGAATCATTATTTTCGTTATAAAAATTGATTTTCATTGGATTTTCCATTAATTATTATTAAAATGGATTATTTTGAATCCATTTTTTATTAAAACCTTTCATTAAACCTTTAAAAGGCGCAATAATTAA